TTGTGTGCATAGATGAAATAAATCTACTGCATTTTTGTTGACGCTGGATACGATGTGTCTATTATGCACATCGATTGATGGGGTACAGGGCGTGGAGTATAGTCTAATGTCTATGTAGTCTACATCTCTGTCCCTGCCTCCCCCCACCTCCCCTCGCTGTACAGCAGGAAGTCTCGGTATTGGTTGGGCGCAGCTCTGACATGCAAGAACAGGTCTCCTTTGCCTATTCCTTGTGTGTCTTCATCGAAACAATGTACGTAGCAACCTAGATGTGGGTGCGTCCGGTAAGAACAATTTGACCCACATCATAATTGCTGGAGATACCACCAGGTGTGGTATTGTTGGGGGTGTTGTCTTGTGTGACATTCGTTATATATCCGGCGTCAAGCTGCTGTAGGTAGGTACTCTTGTGTTCACGGGACAAGCGTGCAATCGCAAGGAGCCATGAACCACTACCAAACAGTTTCCGTTGAGGGGTACCACTACCACGCAGGGCGAATTCGCAGCTACATACCAGCAGCTTCCACCACGGTCTTCCAAGCGGCGAAATCAAAAGTGACCGGTTACGCCGCTGCACCAAAATAGACAGTAGGCCGAGCTGGCGAGCTGATACGAGCTGTGTGAGCTGAAAAGGTGTGAAGCTACAGGACTGCACTTCGCATCGTTATCCGAGACTCCTGGTGACTACTTCTCTGGACTCGAGAGGACCGATGTCGCTTCTGCATGTGCTGCATCAACTTCCCAAGCGTCTTCCCCCTGCACCAATTCTCTGTACACACAAGAGAGCTCTGGCTGAAGGGACTCCTCCAGTGTTGAAGTACGACCACTTCCGGACACTTGCCATTACGGAGCCAGCGACCGCCGTCATGCAGGCAAGTCATTCAGGTGTCTTGGAGTTGGTGTTCCCGTGTATCCCGCGATTTGGGCGCTTTCGCCTACTGAAGAATCACAACAGCTCTCTCACCCTCCGACCCTCCGCGTTGGACTTGCAATTCTCCGCACACACTCGACAGCAGTACGAACCTATTCATTTCCTTCAATCCAAGACCCACTTGTTGTAGGCAGGTGGAGATCAATCGTCCCGACAAGTCGAATGCAATGAACGCATCGTTCTTCGCGGAGCTGAGAGAGTGCTTTGACAGCTTGGCCATGGATCCAGGCTGTCGTGCCGTCGTCCTCTGCGGATCAGGTGCGGTGCAATCTCGCACGGGTACAGCAGCAGTGGAGGGCACCTGAGACGGAAAGCCGAAGAAATGTTATTCTATCTTGCCCCATGTGATATAGAAGCACGTTATTGAGTCCGAATAGACATCCATTGGGCTGACAAACGAAGCGTGCAGCGGTAGAAGTTTGATGTAGTTCGAGCGTTCCAATGGCTGATGGCAGGCGAGCGCTTTGCAACTACAACATCAACTCGTGTTTTGACCGATTTGTTCGTTATTTTCTCGATGAAACACTGCAGACTTACTCTGCCCTTACATAATTTGTCAAGGACTAGCAAATTAGTGCTGTGTTGTTGTTGTTGTCTTCACATTAAAAACCATCCCGGTCTCTCTAT